ACGTACGTTTACGTTCGTACTGGTCGGACGTAGGACCGTCGCGTTCCTCGTCGGACGGCGGAACGAAGACCCCCCCCCCCCCCCCCCCCCCCCCTTCCGTCTCTCTCAGTGTCAGCTGCCCTCTTTGCCCGTTTGCAGGAATCACTATTCGAAGAGAACAAGAGCGACGGTGGTGATGGCGGTCTGAGACGGCGAGGCCGACGGCAGGTGGCTGGCAGAGGGAAAAGGGGTATCGATGACCGTCAAGCAGCCTTAGTGTTTGCGGATGGTGCCTGACTGGCCTCGAGTACGGATCTGCAGACGTCGCGAATGCCCTTTTCGAGAGCGAGGAGGGCGAGCGAGTCTTCTGGATTCTGTGGCGCCGAGGACGAGGGCAAGAGGGGCGGTGGCACGTCGAGGCTAAGGAAGAGCTGGGGCACCTTGAGCGTTTGACCTGGGTCGAGGAGGGCAAGGGCAAGGGACAAAGGAACGGTCAGAGGCGTGTCAAGAGTTGGATCTGAGGCGGCGATGTGGGTAGCCAGGGAGACTCACTTATCCTCCTTGCCATTGCCTTTGCGATGTCGGCATTGGATCGGTAGATGGAGGTTGCCATCGTCTCCCTCGAGGGTAGGGACATGGCGACCGCCCATTCCGACGCGAGCATTCCCTGCGGGATGGCGCTGTGCTGTTCTGTTTCCTGGATCCGGCCCGACTCGCGCAGCGCCCTGTTGAGCTCGTCGTCCTGGTCGTTTTCGGTTGCGTCGCCGGGGGAGGAGGAGAGCGAGGAGACGAGGTGCGGGGATGCGACGCCGCACCATACCTGGAGGGATGCGGACATGACGACGAGGGATACGAGGAAGTGGGGCAGGACGGTGTGCGGGATGGATATTAGGTGGGTGTGCGTTGTGATTGTCATGTTTGCGGTGGCGGAGAGGGGCGAGGGGATGTGCTTGCTGACAAGGAGCGAGAAGTGGTGGTGGTGGTGGTCGTCGTTGAGGAAGGCGGTGAGGGTGGGCCAGGTGGAGGCCTCACGCCGGCCAAACTCTTTTCGCGCGAGAAAAGCAAGAACGAGGCTGCGGGCAACCCGCGCCAACCTTTGAGATTTTCGGCCAGAGCGACAAGGTGGGCTTGGCTGGTCAGCCGCCGCTACCACTTGGCCCGCTTCCTCTCAACCCACCACCACCACCACCATCAATCTGGCCCCACACCGACCTCCACGCTGCCATCGCCGCACCGCCCGTCCGGCGTCAATCTCTCCCTCAGCGTGCCAGCCATGGCATCCTCGGCCACATCGATGCCCTCGCGCATCGCCTCGGCCTCGGCTCGCATCGCCAACCGCATCGCCACTGGGCGCCGCACCCTGCACACCACTCCCAGCCCGCATCCCTCCTCGATCCAGGACATCCTCCCGCCTTTCCTCGTCACCCCAAGCGCTTCCATCGATGGCGCTTGGCCAGCGGCCAAAAAGCTCCGCTCCTTTGCATCGCCTCACTTCCGCGCAGCCGAGGCACGACGACCACCGCAATCACCTTCATCTTCGCCTTCGCCTTCGGCACAGGTCCCCACCCTCTTGCCTGAAGCTGAAGATGTCGTGCAGCCCGTCAACGTCAGACAGAATCGCGCCCTCCTCATCGCCCGCCTCATCGACGGCGGTCGCATCATCTCCGCCATGTCGGCCTATGCCGCCGACATCCAGCAGCAGCGCACGCCTTTCACCAGGACCGACTACGAGCACTTCATGATCGCACTGCGTCGCTGCATCCTGCACAGGTCCACCGCCCTGCCCGAAAAGGTCGGCAGGCACCCAAACGACTCGTCCCCCATCTGGACGCCTGCAAAGATGCCCGTCGGCACAGACCCCAGGTCCCTGCCCATCGTCAACCAGTGTATCCTCGCCATGAGCGAGATCTGGGACGCCTGCGTCACCAGCGGCATCATTCCTTCAAACAAGACCATCTCGTCCCTAGTATCCACCTTTTCCGACCACCTCCCACCCGACCACATGCTGCAGGCCACCACCATCGCAGCAGATGCCTTCTTCGACGGCTGCAAGGCCACCTCGGAGGCAGCAAAGCTCCAGGAGTGCAGCCTCGGCGTCATCAGCGCCCTCATCATCGGATTCGGCAGGGGCAAGAGGCCAGACCTCGGCGAGGACCTGCTCAACCGCTGGTCCACCGCCCGCACCGCTCACACCAGCTCGGCTTCGTCTTCATCGTCCCGAGCAGCCGCATCGCCATCGTACTCTGAGCTGGCACGGTCAGCCGCAGCTCCCCCGAGCCCTCCGCTTCCCGACACGGTCAGGCTGCCGGACATCTGCCTCGCAGAATGGACGGCGAACACCACCATTTGGCTCTCGCTCGTCCAGAGCCGCGTCGAGTCCGGCGACATCCGCGGCGCCGAGATCTGGTTCCAAAGGTACCGCACCGTCATCTTGGCTTCGGACGAGGTGTGCACCAGCCTTGGAGTCCGACGTCCAGCCGCGCCGTCCGCTGAACCTTACCTGCGGATGATGCGCATCTACGCCCAGACCGTGCGCAAGGCCAACGGCTCGAAGGACGGCCGGCGGATCGACGTAAAGATGCGCACCGTCATGGAGATGATGCGCGACGATCGGATCCCGATGGACGCGGACAGCGTCGTCTTCATCGTCCGCCGCCTGGCCGACTCGGGCAGGGTGAGCCAGAGCATCGACCTGCTGGCGCAGAACGCCGAGCTGCTGTCGCTCTCGTCTGGGCGTGCACATGCCGCGCCCCTCTCGCCACACCTCTTCAAGACCATCTTTGGCCTCTACCGCGACCTCAACCGGGACACGAAGCGCAACGCACGGGTGCTGCGGCGGCTGGAGGCTCGCCTGCAGGAGGTTGCGCCCTTGCGAGGCGTGGTCGCCCGTTTCCTCGAAGCTGGCACATGGCAACAGTCTGGGCGGGCCGTTGGCGTGCACAAGTTCCGCCAGACGGGTATGCTCAACGGCGCGCTCAGCGCCTGCATCCTCAAGCGCGACTTTGCAGCCGCACACGAGCTGGTCAACACCTTCCGAGCGTGGGGCCTGGAGCCGGACGGCGAGACGCACTCCATCGTCATGCAGGGGGTCGCGTCTGCGAACCTGCAGGTCTTCTTGGAATGCGCGGGCGACGCAGCTTTCGGGCAGCACATCGAGGTTAAGGAGACACTCGTTTGGAGCGTCGACGAGCTGCGCAAGGCCTACGCCGCCGAGGGCAGAGTGGCCGACAGCGATCAGCTCGACCGCCTGAGGCTTGTGGCGGAAGGCAATGCCAACGGCAAGGAGCGATTCGATGAGCCTCTGATGACCCGGCTTTCAGCCAAGCCGCGCGGGCCGCGAACGACCCGGGATACGGGCCACCTCTCGAAGCTGCTCGAGGCCGCCCTGGTGGCAGAGGTCGAGGCGGCCGACATGGACGGCCCCAGCGCTGGATCGGCGTCCGACTGGACAGAAGATGTGCTGCGCGTCGTCAGGTTGGAGGCCAAGTCCACGGAGCGATCGCAGCGCATCGCGCACGAAGCCATCCGTCAGGTCAAGGCGACGATCCTGCCACCGCCGGTGGCCGCGTCGGCCCTGGCACGACACGGCGCACCAACAGCTCCCTCCCCTGCGCCGCCCAAGCTCGGTCGAACGTCGCGGCGTCCAGCCCTCTTGCAGCGCGATGTCACCGGAAGCCCCGCAGCGTCGTCGCGCGGCCTGGCGACGTCGTGCTCTGGCAGCTCCGCACCGCCGCGACCGCTGCAGCACGCCCACCTGCCGCCGATCCGCATCGAGCACATTCCGCAGCAGGTGCCGTACTCGCTGGGCCTGGCTCTGCAGGAACACCTCGTGGCCCGCCGCGCCTCTGCGCGCGCCCTCATCCGCTCTGCACCATCCCCTTCGCCCTCGTCGGCGCACATCGAGGAGTCCGAGATTGTCAAGCAGGCCCGCAAGGCGGCTTCGACCGACACGCTGCTGCTGCTCGAGCACAAGCCGGTATACACCGAGGGGCGGCGCGAGGGCAAGGAGGATGAGGCGGTGGCCACGGCGCTGCGCCAGCTGGGCGCCGACTACTTTGTCACGAAGCGGGGCGGGCAGATTACGTACCACGGGCCCGGGCAGCTGGTGGGCTATCCGATCCTCGACATTGGCGCCATGGAGCTATCGACGCGGTGCTACGTGGACCGGATCCAGGAAAGCCTTAAGCTGGTGCTGGCCCAGCGGCACGGGCTGGTCACGGTGCCGCCGCCCGAGGACCACACGGGCGTGTGGGCCGACGAGTACCACAAGATTGCCTCGATCGGCATCCAGGTGCGGCACCGGATCACGTCGCACGGTTTCGCCCTCAACGTCGAACAGCGGAGCATGCAGGGCTTCCGGCACATTGTGGCGTGCGGCATCCAGGGGCGCAGCATGACGTGCATCGAGCAGGAGCTGGGGAGGCAGCGCGGCATGGCGCTCGCCGAACGCCGCGTCGACATGCGCGACACGGTGCGCTGCGTCGTCGAGGGCATGGCCACCGTATTTGGCAGGAGGATGCGCCCCGCCGAGGAAGGAGAGTTTGGCTACGAGTTTGGGGACGAGCACGACGTCGAGGCGGCGCTGAGCGGCCTGCGCATCGAACGCCATGCGGGCGAGCGCTTCGTCAAGCGCATCTGGGTCGATGGAGACGAGGTCGTGGTGCCGTCGCCGTAAGGCAGCCCGAGAATGGGCAGCCGAAGGAGGTGAGGCGCTTGAAGCACGATGATGGTGGCACATACCAAAATCGCACCTCTGGTCACCCCCAGTACCGCCTCTGTACCTATCCCAGCGTGACCCGACTACCAACAGCGGGCCTCGACAGTGCCTCGGCGCCGTTCATGTTGAAACAGTGCTGGCTCCAAGGTCACACCACGACTGAGCCTCGGAACGGGCCGGGCCAGGCTCACCATGGGGGGAGATGCGTCCATGACCGCGGCGCGGCTTTCCGAGCCGTGCCTCGTCTGCGTCCCTCCGGCACCCGCGTCCATTCCGAGCCCCTCGGTACACACGCCGTTCGACTCTATCGACCCTCGTGCTGCATCGTGCTCCTGGAGCAGGTGTGTGGTACGCCATCGGTCGTCGATGGGGTCGAAGAAAGAAGGCGAGTCCTATGCTTGGGCAAGAGCTCCGTAGTCAAGCATCGCGGCGGATCGCGTCCGGCCCTCGCTCCTTTTCACGACGACCAGATACGGTCTCGACCGTATCTCAGCCATCCCGGCCACTTCAGTTTCTCTGTGAAGCCCCCGGCCTGTCAAAGCTTCTTGCTCGTCTGGAGTGAGCAATCCGGTCAGTCTGACGAGCAAAGGGCGGCATGCCGCAGTCTCGAGTTCCCTCCTCTCATCGGGCTAGCCAGCTGTCCCCGGAGCAGAGACGCCTCACGGCCGCCTGCCGCACATCATCCTCGGCGCCAACCACCACTGTTGGCGAGTCGGATCTCTGCACAGAACGTCCACCCTGTGCTGCAAGTCTCGATGAACCGTCGCATCGCTGCTGTACCACTGTTTCCTCGATCTTGGCTGTTCAGCCGCGTGCCAAGACGCCCAAGACCACCACCACAAGACCCGCCACCGCAGCCTAGACCGGATTCTGCAGGAAGTGCGGGACAAGTTTGCTCGCTGCCTGGCAGCACCTTGGCGCGAGGAGACCATGATCGCAACGTTCTGAAGCCCTTCGAGTGAGGTGGGCATGCACCCACGGCCTGGGATCATCTCGACCTGCTCAAAGTCTAGAGCTCACCTTGTGTCGCTGCAGCCGGCATCGAGGCGGGGCTAAGTCGAGCCGACAAAGAGCGAGAGTCGAGAGCGATATGCTCGATCCGGGGTCGAGGGGCGGACGACATCGAGGTCAATACGACGCGGGCCTTGCTACGGGAGCAGCGTCGTGTGCTTGGACTCAGACTCGGACCGGAAGGACGAAGGCCGAGCCTCCGCTGCTCACCGAACCAAGCCTCGACGGCAGCTTCAGCGGTCGGTGCAGGAAGCTGTCCGACGTGGCCGGCACGAGGTCGAAGGGCTGACCAAGCCATCGGAGAATGCCCCGAAGCTCTCGCAGCGAGGATGAGAGTGGCGTGGAAAAAGCACCGCGTGTCACGGCAGCACAGCCAATCGGTCCACTCCATGACGAGCCACCCCCTTGACCTGCGAGCGAGCGTAATTACAGTACCTTCTTCGCGCGGAGAGGGGCATGGCGAGGTGCGGCCTGGCCGTTGCCGTACTTCGGTCCGCCGCGTTTCCCACGACCACTCGGTCAACTTGGACCCACGCCATGCCAGTGGCAGCGGACCGCTCCTCATGGACTGCACAGCCCGCAGCTCTGGAGGCTTCGAGGTCAACGTGCAAGGGGGTAAATCGTACGCAACAGGCCAGCGCAGCCGAAGGATAGGACCTGGATCGTCTTGCTCCGCGAGTAGTGGGTGGGCTGTCGGCCTGGATCGGGTGAACCATTGCCTCGGCCACGATGCGGATGCAAAGCATGTCATGCACACGTCCGCGGGGCTAGGCGCATGGATATCGTACGCAGGTGTCTTTGTCGGGCCGGGCTGGGTGTCAGCGCCACGAAAGCATCAGCGCCAGTCAGACTGCATCGCGAGTGACACTCGAGAGCCATACGGAGAAGCTGTATGGACGAAGCGTGACGGTCTTCCAGCATGCGTGGCAACGACGACCCCGGCTTGGAAAACAAGGACGAGCAGTACCGTACCAGTCAAGCGGCCTTGCTGGTCCGACGACGTGACGACGAGCTGGCCTCGCTACAGAATTCCCTCTGTCACAGGGGTACATCGCTGAACAGCTCGAGTGCAGTGAAAGGGACGCAGTGGCTGTCAGGTTCTGTCAGAGGTGGACGATCCGAGGCCGAAGTTCGAGCCAATCGTATGTTCGTGAGGCCCGCTTGGCAGGATGTCGACCTCGCTGACCATCGTACCGGTACGCTCGTCGATGTCTCTGCCGTACGTACTGAACGAGCAGCTTGCCGTCGAGATCTCCAGCTCATCTGCCCCCACCCGACCGGGGACGGGCAACCCGCTGCAACAAAGTGACGCTCCCCGAGACCATTCTGTTTATTCACGGCATCCAGCGTACCTCCACGAGTGGGGCCACGTCGAATGGCCGGTCACCGAGCCCAGAGAAGGAGGGGTGGGAAGGTAATCAGCAGCAGCAGCGGTGATGTTGCCGGTCGCCGTGTGGGCGCTGGCCTGTGGGGCATCATCACGGGCGACACGAGCGGCCACCCTCGCGCAGCGCAGCCTTCCTCTTTTCCTCTTCAACCCTGTCGAGGCAAACAAAGAAAACGTAACAATCTACGCCGCATCTCCGTGACAGTCTTCCTTGGCCATCCTTGAACCAGGAACGAGTGCAGAATGATCACATACGCCGACAATACCATCTCTCGAAGATCTCGACCCGTCTTCGTCAATTTTGTTACGTGCTTTGTGCGATGGCCCGCGCGGCGACGGTTCGAATTAATGCGCCGGTGTCGACAGCGCCGACAACGCTCAGGGGCCACGGACAGGGGGGCCGAATGACGGATCAGATAAGATCCCGTACGGCTCGACGACGGTAGCGAGACGCAGGCCGGTGCGCGCAACGGCATCTTCGCCAGCTGAATCGCGCACGACGAGCCCGGGCACGCCGGCGGGCAGGCGGGCATGGCCGGTCGATCGTCTCGTCAGACAGGGGCGGGTGACAGGTAAAAGGCGCGTCCTTTGGTCAACGCTGAAGGCCCCCGACGTTGCCAAGGCGTGGGACCGGATGGTCCGAGTAGCCGCTCGGAATGACGCTCCGAAGCCCGAAGCGACACGCCGTCCGTCGGATACCGGTACCCGCCGCCATCCGCGTCCGGCTGACGGCAGCGCAATTCTCCGACCGCGTCAGTCGTCTCGCCACCAGCACCACGGCTGCGCGACGATCACGATACCATCGTCCAGAGACCCAGCACCCGTCGAAGCACGGAGGCGGCGTTCAGTACATACAGTACCTTACCCCGCTATTGGGAACGAATTGAAAGCGACAAGGCGTCGGAACGAGATGGACCGTCCCGGCGAGACGCCATCGGCAAGCAGACCGGTACGGCGGTCTAGAACTGGCGTGCGACGACCCTGCCTACCGTCAGGAACCCGCCGCCGTCACCATGCTACGGCCGCTGCGGTACGAGTCCAGGTTGTCGCGGCCGGCGCAGAAGCAGAAGGTTCTTTCCAAACGTCGGGCTATACATTGTCTGAAGCTGTAGCAACGAGGATTGATCGAGACCAGGACGGGAGATGGCCACCATGGACGATCGTTTCGAGTTCCCGGATGCATCTATCGGTCGAGTGATTGGCGCCAAGCACGGTGCGGAGTCAAAGACGGAAGCCGCCGACCCGACGGATAGATGAAAAGCTAAGGTTGAGAGGGAGAGGTGGCGTTTGAAAGAGGGCCGGATCGGGCAAGCAGGCGGGGGCATGGTAAACGTATGTCTGAGCGAGCTTGGGTCTTTCGCGGCTGCGGCTGCGTCGCTCACCTGGACGCTCTCGGCCAGCAGGCATGAAGAATCTCAGAGAGGCGGTTGCAGGGCACCCGGAGAGGACTTCGCTTGCGCTGCCCGCTGGGCCCATCAGGCCGACCCATCGATCGTTGTGTGAAGGTCTCTCTCACTCGCCTTTGCGCCTTGCTCCGGCCCAAGAGGGAGCGGCGATGAGAAGGGCGAGCAAGCACCGTATCCGTCTGATCGGCTGCCGACTTCCATCGGAGGAGCCGGCGAACCCTCGTCGCAACCGCGCAGCACGTCTTTGTGACAACGAGGCCGAAGTGCATATATGCCATGGTGGCTGCTTGCCCACCTCGCGCCCAGTCAGCGGCCAGGTCCCGAAACCGTAGGCAGCAGGCTAGGCCAGAAATCGGTGTCGCATCCAATCGTCGCCGTCGTCGTTGTCGTCGCTGCCAGTCGGAAGCCGGATGGGTCATGCTGACTCTGACCCTTGCCCAGGGTCGGAGGGCTCGGGATCGAGAGGCTCTCACGCTCGGCGATCGCGGCCTCGCTTGGTCGCGCCAATGGCGTGAATGTGTTGGTCTCCCTTCTACCGTGCATGATGAGCTGACCGAGGCGCCGTGCGGACAGTACGCGCCTGCGTGCCTGCCCCGCGTGCTGGGGTCAAGCAAGCCACGGGACGCGCGGGTCACCGACTCGGTGAGCTTGAGAAGCGCGCGCGCTCTCACACGTAGGGCCCGCTGGTCCGCCCAGCTCTCCGCTGCAGAGGCGCAAGCGATGGGCAGGAATGGGCAGACTAGGGCCGTGGCGGATCCCCCCTTGGGACGGTGCGGTACGGGCGTCAGCCGCCAGCGGAGCGCGCACGGCGGGGCGGGACGGGCCGCCCGGGATGCCCGAGGCTGGGCGCAAGAAAGGATCGGCGGTGCAGCTGGGCGCAATAAATACGCATCCGTGCATCCGCCCACGCACGACGCAGCCCTACCTGCCTGCATGTACCCCTCGTCCGTCCCTCGTGCGTGCGTCGTCCTCGCTTGCCCTCTCTCGCCGTCGTCGCCAAGCGAGCAGTCATCCGTATTGGCAAGCGACGGACCCCCCCCCCCCCCACGGGAAATGCGGGCCGCAGCACGCAGCATCGCTGCACGTACTGCGCTGTACACCTTCAGCCATGGCGTATCTCCGCCTTAACTTGCTCGTGCACACTACACTACTAT